AGGGTTTAGTAGTAGTAGTAGTAGTAGTAGTAGTAGTAGTAGTAGTATAGTAGTACTAATTCTACTACTACTACTACTACTGCTACTACTGCTACTACTACTGCTACTACTGCTACTACTGCTACTACCACTACCACTACTACCCCTACTCCAACTCCTACTGTGCCACTGCCACTGCTGCTACCACCACTGTCACTACGACGACTCCAACAACGACGACGACTACTTATTTGAGGGTTCGGCTTGACCGTATGAGGTTTGGGGGCTTCGGGAGTTCGAACACAACTACACAGAAATAACAAGCACCAAGAATCTTGAGCAAACTGTGTCTCAGCTTCGCACGTTGCAGTTCAATGTTGGGACTTCGTACTGTGACATGGCTTGGGAAGTCGACCAGGAAAAAACATGGTGAGACGCCACATGTACCTGGATCGGAAAAACCCTAAGACCCAAAGCAATATAAGCCCAAGCCCTAAATTCCCTAATAACACACAACTCCAAGCCCCGAATTCCAACGCCGCTTGCTCCTTGACCTCCAGGGTGGGCACGTCTTCTGCATCGAGCGCAGCATCCTTCGGATCAGCTTGTCTCTAGCTTTTACGGACCAAAGAGTAGGGCATAATTAAGGACTTTGAAATGGGAGTTCAGGGCTCAAGGGTCTGGGGTTTGGGTTGCAAGGTATAGGGGCTGGGGACTGGAGGTTCTGAGCGGGCCCACATTCGGAGGGCTTACAACACATGGAGTAGCTACCCAGGTTGCAATCGATACCAAGGGAAACGGGCGTGTGCAAAAGCTTGTAGCAAGCCAAGGTCGCTGGGGACCCAAATGGGCCTCTCAGTAACTTAAAAAAAGCCACAGCCCTGAAACCACCAGCGGTTTAGGGTTTAGGGTTTAGGGTTTAGGGTTTAGGGTTTAGCTGTCATTAAGAAAATGGAGCCGCGCCTCAGCTACTGGAAGGTACTCGTCGGAATCCACCGGGCGTGGCAGGAGCCGAGCGCTCAGCGGCGCCGGCGAGGTGGAGACCCTCGGGGATTCCGCCTGATATAGCGGCGATAATAAGTAGAATAAGGCTCCTCGAAGGTTTCTATAAGTTAAGGGTTCTATGATGCAGGGGCCTTACAGCTCATCGGAATAGGGCCTGGGCAGTAGCCTATATTCGCATGACAACAAGAAGCCCGAAGGGACAGTCTTACTACAGTATCTAGTTAGGCAGGCTTCTACATTGGCTCCCTTTGGATCGTGTGTCTGAAGGCTCGGAAACTTTTATGTAGGGGGTCAGACCCTACTTCCGTCACGGAAGTACAGATCCTACTTAATTACTTTGGAATGCCGGCTCCGTCGCAGGGTTGCATATTTTTGGGGAAAATCCTGTGCTACGGCAACGTCTCTAGGATCAAGCTTCATTGTCAACCCGTGTACAAGTTCAAGAAAAGCAACTGTGACCCCCAATTCAAAGAGACTACCTACACTGGCACCCGGCACTCTCACCGAATCCATGAAATCGCTTCCCAGATTCCCTTCGCCCCCTCACCACTTCACCACGACTCATTGCATTAATGCACCCCCCTCCCTGAACCTCTATCTAAACTCCGGATACAGTAAGGCCAGACACAACCTTGAACTCAAAGCCCTCCGCGCAAACTTACACCCCCAAAGCCTGCGAAGCTTTTCAACCACCCCTCCTACACCGTACAAGATGCTTTCAAACTCGATTCACCGCACAAAGCTCTCACCACTGTGCAAAGACAACCGTATAAAAGCTCCATCAAACCCCCAAGCCTCCAGCGCAGCAGTGCTGATGTCGGGTCCGGGGAGGTGTCCTCGAATTTGGAAGCCAGATTGCAAAGAAACCTAAAGGATTGTAAGTAAGGGCCTTAAGGGTATATACCATAGTGTTGGTTTTAAGCGTTTACCAAGGACCAAATAAGTTAGTCTCACGTGGCATAAGATCGGGATTTACAAGACCAAGTATCCATCAAGCATGAGGCAAGTTCGCAAGCATCAAGTGTTCTTCTAACTAAAGTTGCTACAGGAGTCGATCGAGGAATACGCAGAACAGGTGGGGAACAGCACCGTCACCCAAGATATCAAAATGGCTACTTCCTGGACGGCAACATTCTACAGTCCGCTTAAGAGTCAGGCTCCGAGCAGAATGGCAATTTCTGAAGGCTAGCAAGAGACTACATCAAAAGGAGGCAGGAAGCATCTCCCCAGTAACCCAGTAGCCTACACATTCACACCCTAACCCGTCAAGGTATAGACAAGACACTGAGTTGCGGTTCCTTTCTTTAGCGATCTTGTTTCCTCATTTTCTGGACCCGAACTATAAGCAATTACATTCGAGAGTATTTGAGAGTAAAGAAACAAAATCCCAAACCCTAAAACCACCAAACCCTAATGTACAAAACCCTATTACACGACCCCCGGAAAGCTACACAACCCTCGGAAAGCCCCTGTAAAGCCCGTAACCAAACGTAAATGCAGATGATACTCCGAAATGAAATTCAAACACTGAGCTGCGCGACGAGGCACGAAAGCCCAAAGCTCGACGCAGCCGGCGTTCCGAACCTTTGCCCCCCCCCCCCTTACTGCAAACACTACCCGAAACCCAAACAACCCACCGCTTTCAGGACTTATGTGAGGAAGCAACCCAGAAAAGCTGTTCGAGGCTCAGATAGAACTTAGATCACGCTTCAATTGAACGGCTTAAAGACCTAGAGAAGGGTCCTTTCCTTCTCTTTGTTATCAAGATCTCCAATGCAAAATGCAGGGGGCTCGTATGTTCGGGCTTGAGCCGTCAGGGCTTACAAGATAGCGGGTCCTAGTGTAGACGGACACTTCAGCTCTGCTAACCCTGCAGAAATACCCTGGAAGTCCCGCAGCAACCGCATAACAACAGAAAGCCCCATAAACCGTAAACCAAGTTGTCTTCGTATCCCGAAAATCGAAAAGCCTCAAGTCCAAAACCTGCTCCCAGTGCCGTTCTAGGATGTAGAAACTCTGGCCTTCTGTTCATATAGCAAAGTCTTGTAGTGCCTTCTGTTTCATGTTTTTGGCCCGTTCCTTTCAAAGGTTCCTTTGACGGTTACTATACAGGTTATGTTGTAGGGGCCATAATAACTATAGGGTTGGGTTTTGGGGTATCTTATGCTCTACTTACAATAAGGAACCCCAAGATGGTATTGGTTAATTATTTAGGCCCCTATCGCGCCGTATGGTAGGAACTCCTGAAAGAAGATACGTAGTATTTGTAACTCTTCAAGCCCTCTACGTTACATCAACCTAACGGCCTAGTCTACAGTAGTGACTTTTAAACTGGACAACCTTTGTGCCCAAAACCCACATCCCAAATTAAATCAGTAATCAACTACTTAAAATCAACAAATGAACATATGTTTGTACGTGTATACATATATGTAATAGAGAGAGGGGGAGACAGAGACTGTGTTAAATAAAACCTAAGGTCTCAAAACCCTACAAGCGCATTGTATCTACATATAGAACCTGCATACTTCAACCCCTAAGCCCCTAAGCCCTAAAACCCACACCCTCGTATTCTACGGGCCAAGAGGCTCGAGTTGATGGCGAGAAAAGTGGAGGAGGAGCTGGAGCTCCGGTCCAATCGAGGGCCCGGGCTCCTCCAGAAGGCAGGGCTTTTTCGGTTTTGGGGTTCGGGGCTTGGGGTTTAGGGTTTAGGGTTTAGGGTTTAGGGCTTGGGGTGCAGATGGGTGTAGGATTTGGGGTTTGGGAGTTAGGGCTTGGGGGTGTAGGATTTGGGATTCGGGGAAGGGGGCGGGTGGCATTGCACTCTCGCAACTCGGACTCCGCCAAAGGAGGCGAGCAGTTCTACACCACAAATGGGGTTTCCGACAAGAGGGGATCCTAAGAAAGTACCCCAAATAGTAGGACCCTTATTAAAACGACCCCCCAAAATGAGGTACACCCTGATTTTCGGATACTCCCAAAGAGTAGCGAAGACCAGGCCTCGGGGCTCAGGGCCTTCCGGAGGGTTGGAACTCCGCAGTGCCCAAGATTTACGGCTTGTCGGGGGAGCGTCGATAATATAGGGGCATTAGAATAGGGCTGTGGGGCCGCAAATTTTACTATAAGTATAATCAGGAGCCCACAATTCGGTCAGAATTTGGCCTCATGGGTGCAGGGGTTGTTCGACTCTCACACTCGCACAGCGAAGGCAAGGCTTCACAGCGAGCTATCCAACCAGCTATTGCTACAACTCAGCCAAGGAGAATCACGCCACACAAACAAAAACTCCTCACCCAGCTCCCACTGCACCTAAACCCTAAGCCCCTGACGGTAGCTCTTCAGGGTTCAGGGGGCTTCTGTCCCGGGCGCCGGGCTGGGCTTATCTTCAGGCTTAAAAGCTAATGGTAGCAAGAAAAGGCACTGAGAAACCCCGGAAGCGGTGAAGGCTTGAGGATGTTGTCCATGGAGTTGGGGCTTATAGAGGCTGAGTTTGGGATTTGAGGTTTAGAGTTTAAGGGACTGTAGGAACTAAGATTGCAGGGCCGAGTATGGAAAGTACATCGAGGAAACCTCTGCCATGACCCTCGCATCCCAAGTATCGTTGTTACAGTCTTGATTATTTTTGATTTGCTGAGAGGTTCTGCGGATTTGGACTCGGAGATCAGTTACGGAACACGTGACCGCTAACTGCAAAAAGCTCGCTCTGGAAGATGGACACGGAGCTCCGTCCAACCCCACTCCAGCTGCAGTGTCGGGCAACGCATCCTCAAACCCAGAATATTCTTTACCCTAGACCCGAACCGCCCTAACCCATAGCAAACCCGAAACCCCAGAACCAAAGCTCCTCGACCGAAACGCACAGTCCAGCACTTACGAACCCTAAACCGATGCGCACGCTACAACCCCCAAGGACTAAGGAAATCTGTCTGGGTTTTAAGTCTTGAAACACAAAACGAACTTGCCTCTGCCCATCGTCACTGCGGCCACCGGCCAGGCTGGCACTACGTGCCCGCCGCCCCTCCGCTGAGCTGGAGTTTTCGGGCTCTGCAGGGGGACTTGAAGCTTGGAACGTCGACTTGAAGGATGAGCAGTCAGGTGTTTGCGGGTATGACTCGAGGGGCGACTTCCGGCAGCGTCGGGTTTCGGAACCACGTATCAAAATCATCGTGCTCATCATCATGACAGCCCTGCTCTTAGCTGACAGGCAGCGTCAACTTGATGTGCTTCTCGGGGCACGAGAACAGACTACAAATCGAAACCGCAAAGAGCTGACAGCCCGAAGGTCAACTCAACGCCTCATCCGCCCCGGCCGCCATGTCGGCGCTCCGTGGTGTTCCCCTTGCACTCCGTGGCGTTCCCCTCAGTCTCGTGAGTCGGTGGGGCGGTTTAGTCCGTGTGAGGGGCTCGGGTATTTGGGCGTTCAGTCCTTGTTTGCTCCCCGAGGTCTGCACGCGCCACCGACATAGTTTCAACAGCTAATCCTCAGAGTCGCAAACCCAGCCGCCTATCTCTCACAGGCCCCGATACATACAACAAGCAAAATGCTAGGGCTAGGGAGTCGCAAGTAAAGTCGTAGCCTCAGTCAAAAACCAAGCCATTACATGCTTGTCTATGTGTATATGTAGTCGACGACATGTATGTTTCAGATGTCCGTGCCATTTCGAGGAGTATAGGTGATGTTGAACATGGTCCTGCAGCCTCGGCAAATGTCAAGAACCCTCGTAAAGGTACTGCGCAGGGTTGTGGTTTACCGTGAGGCTTGTGGTTTCGGGGACTTAACTTGGGTTTGCATGTCGCACTGGGGGATGGACAAGTTTCTGCTCTCTCGAACCATGCATTACTTCTCTAGCCTTTCCCTGAATTCTCTAAGAAAGTACTCATCTGTGGATCCTCTTCTGAGGCTTACCAAGGAGAGGTGTGCAAGCGTCCTGGTATCCAACCTGCTCTAGTTGCCGAAGATAGAGATCCCCAAACCGACTGGCACCACTACCACTACCACGACCACTTCCACAACTGCTTACTACTACTACTACTACGACGACGACGACTACTACTACTGCTGCTGCTACTTCTTCTTCTTCTGCTACTACTACTACTACTTCTTCTTCTGCTACTACTGCTTCTGCTACTACTACTTCTGCTACTACTACTACTACTACAACTACTACTACTACTCCTCCTACTGCTACCACGACCACCACCTGACTGAGGTCCGGGCAAACCTTGCCGACTTCTGGGCACGGCTCCGGCCTCCGAGGTGAGGAACGGAGGTAGTTGCTCAAAATGCCTGCCCCCGAAATGGGCACAAGGTGATATCGGGGGCCTGATGATTAAAGGAGGGCTGTGGTGAGCAAAGTGCATCATGCTTAAGAGGACTTCAGACTAGAAGGGACATAACGTACTAAACATTCAAGCCTCTAAGCTAGGTTCCTGTTCTGGGAACGGATCTCCTTACACAGAGCTGTCTTCACAACGGCCTGGCGTGCAACCCCAAAATGAACTCCAAACCCGTAAACCGTTGAAGGGACTACACATCCTAGTCCTCCTCAGAGATCCTAAAAACGTGCCCCAAACTTGTATGTTGCTAAACTATCGAAACGGCTCCAGTTCGTCATATAGCGCGAACCACCAACTTCAAGGCCGGGGAAAGGGGGGGGGGGGGTTCGGGTCCTAGGGTTTAATGCAGGGGCCTTAATAAGTAGAATAGGGCCTGGGGATCCTTTAGAGTGCAACTATACTAAGGAATAATATCGGTAAGTATTTAGGCTTCTCTAGTATGGTTTGCGACTGTAAGGCTTGAGGTTTGGGGCTTTCAGTCTTTCAGGCTTGTCGACCTATCCCAGCATCAATCCGAGAAGCTGGTGACGAAGAGCTCGGTAAAGATGACGCCATGGGAGGCAAGTGTTCCCGCACCCCGGCTTAAGGATACCGCAGGCCGTACCCACTGGGCTACAGTCGAAGCTGTCTTTGCCCATGACATCCGTACACTAGCCACGAAGTGCAAAAGACTCTCACTCTTCTTGGATTGTACGCTTCCCGTAGTGGCCCCTTTGAACATCCTAGAAGCATTAAAAGTGCTCTTGCGCGGGCTAGAATTACATGTTTCAAACATGTAAACATGTCGCGGTCTTGACTGAGCCTGAACCGCATGAACTAAGGCAGTTAGTTCAGCAGCAGGCAGGAGGCTCATAAGGAGCAAACGCGGCATGGCCCGACCGAAGCTGCCTTTACCTTCTTGCTGCATGACCTCAACACGTTTCCGAGACCGCTCAGTGCAGCGACTGACCCTGGCATCATCTGTGATTCAATGCAGCGGAGGGACAGACCTTTAGCGACTTAGCCTCTGGGACTTGGATATGGAGACTAAACCCCTAAACCGAAACACCCACAAACAACCGAAAGCCCGACACCTAATTGCTTCATGGCTTTACTCACCGTAAATATGGGTTCAAAAATTCGGCTTTAGAAGCTAGGTTCTTGCAAGGGACCCCCTGATTTCCAATAAAACCCACAAGCCGGATGCTCGCAGGGCCAGCACATGACCGCGGCGGCGCCCGCCCGGATGGCTGCCCTGGCTCAAGAGATAAAGCCAGGGCGAGGACAAACGGCAAGTGATGTACAACATCAGGGCCGGGGTTTAGGCCGATTCTGGGGTTCAAAAATTTAAAGGCTTTCTTGACTTTCGGGTGTGGAGATTCATGGTGCTTACGTGCTTAGTTGGGTTCAGCTCGGAGGGCGCGTCGGGTAGTGATTCGGTTTTCGGGCTTGCGATGGGGAGTGAGGAAGCAATCCCCCAACACTAAACAAGTAACACACTGGACCGTAGGCCCTCCAAGACACCAACCCCAAAAGCAGCAAGCCCCCAAACCCCAAAGCATAGAAAGCTCACACCCTACCAGGACCTTCTTTGTACCCTCAAACAGGGGCAAATGGTCGTCTAATAGAGGGTTGATGGAGGGTCTAGGTTTAGACCCTACCTCAGCACCGCCAAGTCGTCGACCCCCTACTTCAAGCATCCAGGACCTAGTAAGTAGGCTAGATCTAATGTAGGGGCCTTAACGATTACATTAGACTGGGGCTTTGAGGTATGTTATACCATCACTACATTTAGGCTCCTATATCGCATGGTCAAGGTACCGGATACCCGACTTTTGCGTTTAGAACCCTATACATAAAACCTCTGTGCTCAGTAAAACCCTCCGATCCTTTAACTAACCCGCACACTCCACGACGCCTCCCAAACGCTTACAGAAACCTTTAGCTTCCTGAATATAGCTCTGGTAACATATAATGTAGGGGCCTTAATTCCCAGAATAGGCTTTTGGGGTCCTTTATGGTATAATCATAATTAATAAGGAACACCCAAGATAGTATAGGTACTTATTGAGGCCCCTCTATTACCACCCCCTTAACCCTAAACCCTAAACCCTAAACCCTAACCCCTAAACCCCCCCCTTAACCCTAAACCCTAAACCCTAAACCGTGGCCGTCCATTTTCAAGCTTTGGCCAGGTCCACTCGAAGGGAGGGTAGTAGTGCTCCCAGCCTCGGGTGTAAGGGAAGAAGGGCCTTAGGGCTTAAAGCTTTAGGGTTTCGGTTTTAGGGGCTTGGGGCTTAGGGCTTAGGGTTTAGGGTTTAGGGTTTAGGGTTTAGGGTTTCGGTTTTAGGGGCTTGGGGCTTAGGGTTGAGAGCTCGATGGCGAAGTCTTACGTTCCTGGCTGGAGCCCGCACTCGAAGGCTCCAAGTATACACCGATTGCGGCTTGGTAGGGCTGATTTCTGAAAGCTGCTTTAAGGTCTTGGAAGCCTTTACATATACCTATTCTGGGCAAGGGCTTTCCAAGGGCCCATGCAAGGTTCTGCAAGTCATTAGGGCTTTGGCTAGTTTCTGGCTTATAGTCACGGGCTCGGCGGTTGGGACTGTAGTTCATGTTGGCTATCGGCTTTGGGTGCCTAGGGCTTTGGACTGAGCCAGTCAAAAAGAAAGTGAACAATCTGTCTTCTGCAACGGCGAAGTCCCAGAATCGACAGTTCGCAGTATGACGGGCCTTAGAAGTTCACGGCTTTTGCTAGGATTTGCTAGGATAGTTTTCGCAACAGCACCTTAGCTCTCTAACCCCAGGAACCTAACAGTCACGGTAAAGTTTGCAGGTGCATTGTGGCATGGAGATACACTTAATTACTGAACTATTGACTATTCCGACCCCTGTACAATCATATCATGACCACCTGGCACGTTCCACTTCTCGGACAGTCAGCCCCCACCCCACGCCGCATCACACGAAACCCTCGCCGCAAGAGCCTTCCGGCCTGAAGTCCCCAACACGGACTTCATAGCACTTTAGAGTTGTGGGTTAGGGTTTAGGGTTTAGGGTTTAGGGTTTAGGGTTTAGGGCTTAGGGTTTAGGGATTGAAGGGGCGTTGGCTACAGCAACATGTGAAGTACTTGGAAACCCTCTCACATCCAATTGTTTAAGGTCGTGTCTTGCGGCTAAGCAGCTTAGAGCTGAAATTCTGAAGCATCTACATCTCAAGAAGCAGACAAATATAGCTGCCTTCACCAGCTTTTTCGGGACCTCTAAGGCAACATGTGTGATTGCTCAGTTTCTATATCAGGCAAACGTACCAAAAGCCCCTCAACATCGCTTGGGCACGAGCGGGTTCGTGCCTCTGCAATCGAATTCATCGAAGAGCGTCCGTACTCCTGCGGAGGGGAACTTAAGGGTTTTGGACCCTGTGTTTGGATTTTAGGTTTAGGGTACTTGCATGCTGACATATAAATGATAGAAATGCGGTAATGGCTTAGGGGTTTAGAGGCTTAAGATAGGAACCTGATTTAGAAACCCTGGCTCTTTACTATTTTTCTTCGTACGAATCCTGTGATTTAGGGGGTTAGAGGGCCAGGGCTTCTTAATCAGGCTAAAATCCTATACCTTTAAGCCCTGACCCAGGGGTTTAGGCTTTAGGGCTGAAGGCCCACTAAGTGCATTATACAATGGTCTAGGGTTTAGGGATTTTAGTATCGTGTGCGTGTGATGATAACGTGCCTGGTTTTTGCAGGGTATACCTAAAGGTCCAATAGTCCAAACATTCTTTGTTGAAGGACTTGGGTCCTTCCTGTATACTTGCAGCCATAATTTACAACTGCTTCCTCTCTGAGGGTTTACGATGCCACCCTCCTGAAGTGCATTTTTAACACGACGAGTGTTCAGGGCTTTACATGTGCTCATGGCGGGGTCAAAGCTTCGGGTAGTAAGGGTAGTCTCCCTAAACCCTAAACCCTAAACCCTAAACCGTTCCAGGGTAGTACAACAACGATAGCAGCAAAAGCCTCCGGGTTCAAGTTCCGAGTAGTCACACCCTCTAGGGTTTAGGGCTTAGGGTCGCTTCTACCCCCCCAATAGAAACAAAAGCCTCCCAAAAAGAAAGTAACCGCCAACGCTTTGCATGATCAGCTGAATGAATACACTTTACACTTTTCGGGATAGTACTATACCCTAGCGAGCTGACAGTTTACATTGCTTGGGGGGCTTATGAACTCAGGCTCAGCAAACCAAGCCTAAGCTTTAATCCCTTGTGAAGACGGTTTGACGAGCTCAGGACCCTGCCCCTATGTAAACCCTAAGCCCTAAACCCGAAAACCCTTTTGCGTCCGGTCAGCCGTGACAGCCGAGCTTTTAGATCCTGAACGTAGTGAATGAGC